TTGACTGTTGCCTGTTCACCATTCTATCTTACGAGTATTGGTAAATGTCCAGCAACATTGCAAATGTCGTCGGCGCTTCCGGTGCATTTGACCTCATCGAAATCAAATGCTCAGGTCCGACTGTTAACCTCTGACCTAAGATTTACACATAAACTCAAGGTATCTTGAAAATCAATTTCTCTTCAACAAAACTCTCCTCTTATTTTGATTTCACTCTTTCTTCTTCAATTAATACCCATCATTTCCTCATTCGCTGTAATTTTGGAAACATTCAGTATTTTTTACATTGAACTTCTTGGTTCACTGGTCGTAGAACTTTTCATGATTCAAAGAATAATATCACAGGAAACATCAAATCTCTGGCCCCCTTCTGGCCCAGTACATGTTAGATCGGTAGATTGCCAAGCTGCACCGGTCAAACGACGACCCATTGAATGGCAAAGTATAATCGTTCGTCTATAATTTAGCTGGCATTGTGCCAACAATGTCAATTCGCTTATGTTTTTACCTGACTTGATCCAATCGCCTACCCATGGCATATTGAAATCGTTTCACTATAATCCAGGCGGCACCGTGTCAAATCCCTAACAACACGGGATCTTGCTGGTACATCCCGCTAAGGTCCTACAAATGTTTCAGACTTAGGTACGATATCCCAGAGATGTTTCTCTTGGGACATCCATCAGATGTTTTCATTGGATGTTCTAGAAACATCCCATTTGATCTTTCTTTCATAAACAATATCATGGTTTCATATTTGCTAATCATGATTGACATGATTGAACAGTTCAAACAATTGTGACGCTTAACTCCATGAACCATGTAATAAACGACAAAATTGAAATATACCTCTTCAGCATATTTATTGCTGAATTTATTTGTTATACCAGCCGATAGATGGCGGTACAACTACGTTGCTATTGCTAAGTATTACTAACAGCCGTCGGCCCAGCGCCAACAAATATGAGCCTCAAACAACTGTTATTATCTTCCATTAGTCATTGGACCGCACCCACCTTATATTTTCGGATTCGCATTGTTACTTCATATCTGGAAATAGGTCGGCCATTTTCAGGATTTCAGATTGAAAATAATTCATACCGTGTCATCCATTTCTGTCATCTAACAAAAAACATCCTAAGTATCTTTAAGATGTTCCACATCAAGTACCCTGATTGTCTCTGGTACATCCCGTATCATCCCACAAACATTCTGATGGGATGTTTATAAGACATCGCAAATGCTGACACGGGTGTTGCCAGCAACATCCCAAGAATGTCCCAAGGACATCCCATATGGATGTTTCTACGACGTCTTACAGATGTTTTTGTGTTATTAGGGATATATTTTAGTTTCAATTGAGAAATCAAATTTCTAAGTGCCCCAGCTATAAGACTTTAAACCCCCATAGCTTCCCCGTAACAGGAAATAGGTGCCCTACGTTACAGAGAGTTAACTATGTTGCCAAATTTCACGATCATTACTTCAGCAGTTTCGGCTCGGTGATGAAGAATCTGAGATATTTTGATATAATATATACCGTATCCAAGGTGAGGATGTCTATCATGGGGATCTCAGAAACCATAATAGAAACGAAGATGGTTGGAATAGAGAGGAATTGCGCATTTCTAAGCCTAACAGTACGGCGTTTGGAATGTTTAAGAATTCTAAGTAGTTCCGGAAAAATGCCTGAAAACGAAATATGTCGATTTTGTTCTCATTTTTCACTGACGTTATTCAGAGAGATGAAGGAAAACAGAAGACACTTTCTCATTGCCACTTTTTGAGCTCAACGGCGTTGAGAGAATGTCCGTGCGACGATCCGTTTCGGTGAAACCATTTCCGAGATCCTCATGATAGACATCCTTATCTTGGACACACAAAAATATTAATGATTGCATTCGAATATTATCATAGTATTCATCACATTTGGCCATAAAAAAATAGGCAAGTCGTCTGACTCATAAAATAGGCATGAAAGGAAATCGGAGAATCAGATGATTTTCCTTGTTCATCCTTTGTATATATCTGTAATGATGACGATAATTATTATGAATGGAATAATCCTATTCGGAAATCAACCAGAAATAAATCTTGTCGACTTTTTTTTATTTGAATGTATCGGCAGACATGTACTCGGTATTGGCCCTTATGATGACCAGATTGGTACTGATCCATCAATGTTTACTGAAATTTTGCCGCTCTGGCAAATTCTGGCCTGCATATTCCGAGCCAGCATAAGGCCGACCTGAATTTTTTGCTGAGATGAAATCAAGATGAATTAAATGGTCCTTTTTTATGTACTGGTTCCCACGAAGAGGGATATCCTGTAATGTTCAGAGAACATCGTGAGAAGCAAGGGAAATGAGGTAGGAATTGGTGTTCTTCTTGAATTTCTAGAGGTTATATGCCTCGGGGAACACATCCCATGGCAATGTGTTCCAGAGCCTCGCTGTTCGTTGGATGAACGAATCTTTGGAAGGAAATGTTCTGCAGGTCTCCAAAGTGACCACGAAGAGGTGCGAAGCCTCAACTCGACGGGCTAATCTCGCGATTCACAATAATTAATGTCACATAGTTGATAATATACATCTAGCTAGAAAAACTAGGCATGAAAATTATATTATTGGAAGAACTACATATGGAATAACATCAGTCGATGAGTTTGTTGAAAGTTGTCTCAGTGCCCAAGTTACAAGAAATTCGGATAGTATATTCAGGTCAAAGTTTAAACGAAGCTTTCAAGGAGAATAATAGGTACCCTGATGATGAAATCAATACTCATCTTGAATCATCGATTCAAGAAAGAGTAATACATTACTATCAATTGTATTGATTAATCACGAATGAAGGTAAGAAAGATGTTGTAAGAACATGTTGTTTTGAATACAATACTCAGAACTACAAGATATAACAAGAGTTCTCATTATTGTTATTTATATTAAAATATTGTCTATCCAGATAGTTCACCTTGTATATTTGTATGCCCGAATGAATTTGAAATTATGATATTGAATCTTATCATCTCTAGTTGAGTTTCTCCAACTTCTCTTGGACAAAGCCAGCTTGCTTTCATCAGATGAACGTTGAAAAAAAGAACCTTGAAACACATTATCTTGTCTTTACAGTCTCCCTGAAGATGAAATTGAAGATTTCTGAAAGCTTGGACAACCTTTGGAGAGTGCTCTTCTGCTGCAGTCCCCAATACTCCCTAGTTTCTTCCTTTATATCTATATACATAAATAAACTAGGGATGCAGCAAGTCAAGACAGTACTCTCTAGAGATAGTCCGAACTTTTGAAATTCCACACTATTTTCCCATCTTCAGGGAGACTATGAATAGATCATTCATGAGTATCATGCATTATGAATTTGCGAAAACTATGTACATACCTACCTTTTTGTTGAGGATGACTGATATGGTGTTCATGTGGAATGCCACTGCCAGTACAGAGCGTTCGAATCAGCCCACATGAACTGAAGCTACAACTTTTCGAGATCTAACAAATTTTACAGGTGTCTTGTTACTAGTTTTGACCACATGATCACTTCAGACATTGTTAAGGAGTGATGATATGAATACTGTCTGTAGGTTAATCGAGGAAGTGATTCATTTATCACGGTTTCTTGTTTCACCTGTCCCAGTGAGGATGAAATTACAATATCAAGCAATCGACAAATCAAAACAAGCTGAACATATTATCCTTATTGAAAATGGACAACATATGGCAGACTGGAATGATATTAAAATCATAGGAAACGAAGATAACAACCAGAATCCGCTTGCATTCTTCTGAACAGAGACATTAGCTTCGCTTCCTGTTTAGTTGATATATAGATAGAGCATCCCAGACAGCACAGAATATTCTATGAATATTCTGACAACGTTCAAATATACATATTTTAGAATATTCCTATAAAACAATCCCAGAATGATCATGGAATATTCTCATTCCGCAGCGAATATTCCATGAACCGTCAATTTGACATATTCTCAGGATATTCTTTTTGAATGTTCTGGGGATACTCTTTTTGAATATTCATCATTTCAGAACGTATCAATATAAATTATATAGATGTTCCTATTCTTGTATCAATATTTATAATGTTTATCCTGACATAACCTATTATTCTCTAGCCTCAGAGCTGGTTATCCCAATAATTATTCATATAATCACTCAATAAGGTTCGAGGCGAAATGGTTAAGGCTTCAGGTTCGTAAAGATGCAATCACAGATAGTGGGTTCGCATCTCCACCGGAGCAAGCTTTTTTTTTATTTTCTTCATTCCTCTCCAAAATCCTAGGAATATTCTTAGACTTTCCATTCCGAATGATCATAAAACATCCCTAGAATATTTGTATAATATTGTGAGAATATCCTGAGAATATCCAAATATTCTCGAAGAATATTCTATGAATGTTCTATGAATGACATTTTGCTATCTGGGATGGTATTCACTACGGAAAACTGAACAGAAAAATGGTAGAGTCGAGATCAATCGATGAAAACATCCTTAACCCATTTGTATGCTTATATCACTCATTCATATGCCAACATCAGTCTGTCACTGAGAAGTGTCAAACTATACTACGACAATTTTAAAAGAATAATATTCAACATTTTTCACATTGAAAACGAGAACAGATTCGTTCCCGAAACATCCAAAGTATTCCAAAGATAAGTAATAATTCGATATTTTTTCAATACATCTATATATCTTTTCTTCAAAAATTTTTTTAAAACAAAGTGTCACTGACGAGCTATTGGATTTTTCTTTAGACTCTCTGATAAAAAAATGGTTTGAACGCAGTGATATTTTGGGGCAAATCATCTGATTTGTTCTACTACACTGGTATATTGTGATAATACTCATATTTTTATTTTATGGAAACGAGAAGAGGAAATCCCAAATAATCAAGCAAAACGAGTGATAATATGATTTATTGAATTCAATAAATAATTATATTTCATCAATCAATTTATGCTAGTTAGGTATCAATTCACCATTGAGAGACAACAGGTGCAGAGTAGGTCGATAGTACTGGAGCACTGTGAGAAGCGTATCCTGATATCAGTGGTGATCCATGGGCAGCATAACCGGATACAAGAGGTGCTTGAACAGCGTAGCTGGAAATAAGTGGCGATTGGGCAGCGTAAGATGACACTACTGGACTGTGGGCAGTGTATGTGGACACAGCGGGAGCTGAGTAAGCAGAAATCAATGGGGATCCGTGATTGGTGTAGCTGTTCACCACTGATGATCTCGATAATGCGGGTGCAGCAATCAGTGGAGAAGAGTAAGCAGATAGAACTGGTCCAGCAGAGTAGGTAGCCACTGCAGGGGTGCCGATCAAACCAGCGTTAGCGTACGCCAAGGCGGTGACGAATATGATGATCTGAAAGAGTCAAATTGATGGATAATGATCAAGGAATCTCTGATCGTTTCATTTTTTTGGCGAGTAAATAACAAACAGGACACAAAAAATAATCCGTGTGGTGAGCATCAGTATGCTTCCCGAGATGCTTCCTGTATAAATCAGTTCAATACATTATTTTGCAAGAAACATAATGGTCAATGAAGCAACGTACGTGCCTGATGATGAATCAAAGATCCTGGGTTCGAATCCCATAATTCAAATACTTTTTTATTTTTTTCGAGTGATTAATTGGAAAAATACTGTGTAGGCATTTAATGTGAAGGACAATAGGCATTAGCTATTCAAGGATGTTTTTTTTTCTGAATTCGCTCCGCTCATCACGGCCGGAAATTATCTGTAGACTTGGCTAGCTTGGATTATTTGTTGCTTTCTGTCTCTATACACATGCTACACATTTATTGGAATAATACCAACCTATATTTTGATTTAAAGATTATAGAAACAAAGAGAGAGAATCAAAAACAATGTGGTATAGGTAGGTTGGTAGGTAGGTATACCTCCATTTTTCAATTTCGTTTGATAGCGCCAACTTTCACACAAATAATATTTCCGTAGCAAATGTTCATGCTTTCCAATTCAGATTAAGTTGGGCGGTTACTCGATGAAAATCCAAGTTAATTGCGAAAGCTTCAGAAACCATGGGATATTTTGAAAATTCAAAAATGTCATCGTTTGTAAAATGTTCACAATTAATTTCTCTCAAGTAATATATCTTATTCTTCTATGTGCAATAAAAACATCGATTAATAATAATAATAACAAACAATCAAATCAATTTTACATTTCGAGGAAATATTTGAAGTAATAGTAATAGTAATTAGCGTTACAAGGCCCATATGTAGCAAATAACGAATGAGGTTGGACATTGTTATCCGAGGCGCAGCCGAGGATTATAATAGCAGAATCTGTTATTTGCATATCGGCCGTGTGTCATTCAAGGCTTCTCGTAATCCCGCTGAAAGATTACAATCTGATCCCAAAAAAAGAACGAACCACGTGCCTCGAAATTCTATAGAAGAATCCCAACATCGTGTTGTCATGGAACAGCTTAACAGTATCACAATAATACTTTTCAAGTGTGAATCAAACTAACAGTATGGGATTACGAAATAGTAATAAATTATTCACCCCATATAGATTTTCAATATACTTACAGCATGTTCCAAACCCATAATATCTCAACGAATATGGATCAAGCAATACTAACAAGATAATAATATACCTATTGGGATACTATAATTGAATACAAAACTACCCGTGGTGTCAAATTCAACAATTCATAGTTCTCAAATGACGTAAATTCCGAATTCCGACTAAAGAATAATGATAGTTACTCCATATCAAAGAAAAATTCAGTCATACATTCTCACAAATGGATATTCGGGATTTAGTGTATTGTATTTTTTTCAATTTTGGTGAGTACTTACTTTTGATGCCATTTTGAGTGGAGGTAGATCTTTTGTCGTGATGTGAACTGATATAATTTCAATTATCAGGTTAGTTTTATACTCTACTTCAACAAATAATATGATTTAGACCGGATTTTAAACCACTTTCAACTTTCCTGAAGGGGTCTAGGTTATAAATGTTCCTTGACAAAACTGCTATTTCAACAATCATTAATTATTGTCTTCATTTCATTATGTTTCCATCTCATTGTTGTTATGTGATTAATTTTGTCAGAGTTCGAAATTTTTCCACCATAATTTCGAAATCGTATAAAATAGGTGAAACAACTGAGGTACTCTCGTTGATTATTTTTTCTGAATTTTGAATAATTATTCCTTTATTGGTTATAATATGCAGTTATTTCGTAATAAACAAAATTAAATATTCATAGGGGAAAGTAATATGAAGATTGAATCAAAATCATCCCGAACAAGATATATGCATTACAATAACAGAGAGTGTATAGAGTTCATTTACCTTTATAAAGGGTGATATCAATCAAATCAATCAAATCATTTATTCTCCATGACTGACAACATACAGTGTCGCTGATATGTATGGAAACGGTCGATTATTTCCTAAAGTAAGATAGCTAGCGAAAAATGTTAGGATACAAAAGTTGTAGGGTTTTTCAGTATCCATTTAGCTATTGAAAAATTAAGTATACAGGATGAGTCAAAAAGGGACGATTGGGAAAAAGAGATAAAAGTGAGGTTAGCTGAAATGGAAAATAATATAATTGAAATCAAGAACACCTTGAAAGCCTTTACTTCAACCGTACTCAAGGAGGATATGAATTCGATGCCACTGGAATTGGCAGCGAATTCCGGTGAACAGGGGAATTCCAGTCCTCTGGTTCACCAAACAGCAATATCCATCCCGGATACTCCAAGGTATGAAGAGAAGTCAAAGGAAAGGAAGACTGCAGCTTCCAAAGGGTCCTTAAATGATAGCAGAACACAGTTTCGTAGTGGAGAGCCAATCGATAGTCGAGAAAATAGCCTCAGGACTGCACCTGTTTCGCAGATACAAGAGGATAGGGCACAAAGATGCACCTCTAAGTCTGGAAACACCGACAGTGGAAGTCAAAGAAGCAGCGAGTACCCAACAGAAGAAGTCTCTAAATTAAAACGGATGAATAAATCAGGAAATGACTGTACAAAAGTTGAACATCAAAGTAAGATAACTGATACCAGTCTCCCACAGTCAGTAGTGCCTTGGACACAAAATGAGAAGGCACATGGATGCATATCCAAGCCTATGAATTACCACAGTAACGGAGTGGGAGTATATTTCAAAGAAGATGTTCACTTACCACCAAGGACAATGACCATACAACCAGCACTACTCAAGAAGCCGAAACGACTTACCACCGATTCTATCGTAATTGAATCTATGGACTCGATCAACGGAATATTGATAGCCCTGTATATTATTCCACATTTCAATTCTGCTCGAAATTCTGAACAAAATTGATAAAGCACATCATTTCCTAAATTCAACTGTTTTCGAGATATCGAATTTTGTCGAAAATACATTTAGTGTAAATAAGTTTCGCGCAAAAATGGCACGTTTAACTAATACTGAGCGTATTGAAATTTTAATGATCATAGGATTCGGTGATAGAAGACGAAGTTGTGACCAAGTAGTGAACATTTTTAATGAATTGCATCCAAATCGGGAACCAATTTCTAAATCAACCGTTTCAAGAACATTGCAGCGTTTTCATGAAACTAGAGATGTCAAAGATCGACCAAAAAGTGGAAGACCAGTAAGCGTTACAAATGAAGAAAATTCTTTGAATGTCATGTTAGATGTAGTGGAAAATCCTATAAATTCGGCACAACAGAGGGCTTTGAATCATAACATGAGTCGATATTCCATTCAAAAAATTTGCAAACTGCAAAAATTCCATCCATATAAAATTCATTTGGTACAAGAATTGAGTGAAGACGATTTTAATCGTAGAATCGAGTTCTCTGAAGTTATTATGGATAAATTAAGCGAAAATGTCAACTTTGTCAACCACATATTGTTTTCTGACGAATCTACATTTTGTTTAAACGGGCACGTAAATCGACACAACTGTAGGTATTGGTCAGACCAAAATCCACATTGGATGGAGGAAGTTCACACTCAACGGCCACAAAAAGTAAATGTCTGGTATGGCATTATTGGTGGACACGTCATAGGACCCTATTTTATAAACGGAAATTTGAACTCTGAACGATATTTATCACTTTTACAACAGCATATTATTCCAGAGCTTAGACGATTATTCCCGAATAATAACAATCCCAATTTGCCGGCAGAACAAATATGGTTTCAACAAGATGGGGCTCCTCCACATTTTGGACGTATGGTACGGGCATATCTAGATGAAACTTTTCCTAATAAATGGATTGAATGCAGGGGAGCAATTGAATGGCCAGCTAGGTCTCCCGATATGACCCCACTTGACTTTTTTCTATGGGGTCACATGAAAAATGTAGTCTACAAAAATAGGCCGCCAAATAACGAAGAGTTGCAAGAAAGAATAAGGCATGAAATTTCTACTATTCCTCCTCACATGATTTTAGATTCACTACAAACTTTTGTTCAGCGAGTTCATTACTGTCAGGAGGTAAATGGTAAACACTTTGAGCACCTTATTAAATAGAATTTCAAAGAAAAATTTGTTGTTTATTAAAACTTGTTTTCTCTCTTTTCCTCCTGTCTTAACTATTGTTTTCATAAAATTTTAAATATCCTGGACATTCATTAAAAAATACATTTTATTGTTTCAATTGCATTTTAATCAACCCTGAACAATTATGCTTTTTTTATTTTCTGTAAGAAATTGTAATCATAATATCCACATACTCCACCTTTTGTGACTTTCATAATAAATATGCATCATTTCGTGCTTTTTCTTTAATAAATTTGAGAGTAGTAAAAAGTTATTTTCAAAATTCGATATTTCGAAATCGGTTGAATTTAGAAAATGATGCGCTTTATCAATTTTGTTCAGAATTTCGAGCAGAATTGAAATGTGGAATAATATACAGGGTGTCCCATTAGAGAAAAAGCAACTTTGTTTCGTCCTGACTTTTTGACTCATCCTGTATACTTGATTTTTCATTAGCTTAATGGATTTTGAAAAACCCTTCAACTTTTTTATCGTAACATTTTTCGCTAGCTATCTTACTTTAGGAAATAATCGACCGTTTCTATACATATCAGCGACCCTGTATATTGTATAGAAATAGTCAAAGATACTGAAAAATGATAAAACTCACAAACTGAAAAAGAAAAAGAAACTAGAAAACTCACAAACTAATGAGTGTTTATAACAAGTAGGAATATTGCGAACACAAAAACTCGTTCACAGTATAAAGAACTTTGCCAACTAAAAATATTTCGATTTTTTTTTTGAATCTATTTCCTCTACAATTTTTTATTGATTCAGGTAATTTGTTGAATAACTTTGGCCCAATAAAGTTTGGCGATGAACTGGTAATATATTCAATCTGGCAAAGGGTATCCGCAAGTTATTTTTTTGTCTTTTTTTTTTATTCCTTGGAGCGCACGAAAGGGAATTCCTATAATGTTCAAAGAACATCGTGCGTTCCTAGGAAGGATAGGGACAGGAGGTAGGTATTGGAATTTTTCTTGAACTTCTGGAGATTATATGTTGTTGGGAATACTTCCTCAGGCAATGAATTCCAGAGCCTAGCCGTTCTATGGATGGAGGAATTTTGGATAAAGTGCTGTTCGACATCTTTCGAGGTTGACAACGAAAGGATGTGCTGACTGGGCTTGTCTAGTTCGTCTGATTGGTCTTGCTAGTGAAGGGATGATAGCAGAGATTTCTGAAGAACATTTCCCGTGAAAGTATCGATAGAAAAGTGAAAGGTCGCCGACCAATGATGTCAAAGAGTGAGTGAGTGTGGCGTCACTCACCAGGCAAATGTCTCTTTTCTAGATGGAATCTAAGAGCATCAGCGTATGTTTTGGTGCTGAACCCCATATGTGGGAACAGTATTATAGAACAGGCCGTATCTGCGCTTTGTAGATCATGAGAAGCTGTTGAGGTGTAAAGTAGCTTTTCGCACGGAACAAGAATCCGAGTTTTTGTGAAGCAGCTTTTGCGATGGATCTGACATGATTATCCCATGAAGGAGTGTTGCTGATGGAAATACCGAGCATAGATATGGTGGGCTTGATGGGGATGGTGGTGCCAGACATAACAATATCGGGCATACTGAGTTCCGCCTTTCTAGAGAAAATACAGGCTTGAGTTTTGGTGGCGTTGAATTCAACTAGGTTGTTGGTTCCCCAGGCTGTGATTTCAGCAGGGTCTTCATTGACAGTATTGACCTGCCTGCGCCGTGAGTTCTCAGTTTCCTGGGAAGAAATTGGAATTCTGGAAGAGAATGCAGTATGGAGGGTACTATCATCTGCAATGCTGTGGAAGGGGCAAGTTGTTACTCCCAACAGATCATTGATACAAAGAAGGTGCCAAAATTGATCCTTGTGGAATGCCGGAATTGATGCTAATGCGAAAACTCGATAAGAGATGGCATAGCTGAGGAGTCCTTCGTGCCAAACACGGTCGAATGCTTTCGATATGTCCAACGCGACAGCTAGAGATTCCCCGTGTTCTTCTAATGAAGCTTGCCATAAATGGGTGACGTAGGCAAGTAGATCTCCAGAAGATCTCCGGTGGCGAAAGCCGTATTGTCTATTATTGATGATTCCTCAGCTCTCCAGATATTTGGTAAGCTCAATATTGATGGCTTTCTCCATCACTTTGTAGATTACTGAAAACATGGCAATTGGCCTGTAGTTGTTGGGCAGGTTCTTGTTCCCTTTTTTGGGGATTGGTTGGACTCTAGCTGTCTTCCAGCATGATGGAAAAATACCCGACCTGTACGGTAAACAACTTGCAGAGAATCGGTGTTAGTTCTGGTGCACATTTTCTGAGGATAATGGGTGGAATTCCATCAGGACCGTTAGCCTTATTCGTTTTGA